GCATGCCATGTCCTAATATACTTGAATAAAAACATCGCAACTCCCAAGATAGGGACTTTAACTTAAAAAAAAAAAAAAAATAAAATTATTTAATTTTAATTAATAAAATTTAAAAAAATATTTAATATAAATTTTTCTAATTTAATCTAAAATTTAAAAATTTTTAATATATAGTAAACTTTATTTTTTATTAAGTAAACTTGTTTAAATTTTTTAAGTAAATTTGTTTAATATAAAAAATTATATATATTTTAAAATTTTTAAAATTTTTTAAAATTTTTTATTAAATTATTATATTTAATAATATAAATTACAAAAAAACCTCTTCTCTCTCTCTATTTCAATTTTTGATAAAGGGTAAAATAACATATACAACAATAAACAAGCAATCAAACTTTAGAAAAAACTATACCACAAGAGCTAAAACTCTTGTGCTGAAGAAAAAAAAAACAAGTCTGTATAGTTATATCTGGCTCTTTAACAGACAAGACAGAAAAAAACAAAAAAATCAGAATTTTCTTCTTTAAATAAGGAAAACAAAACCAAGAAGCAGAGTTGCTGAATAAGACTAGAAGTTTAAAAAAATCTGTTCTAGATACCTCAGCAAATGCAAGCAGAACAGTAGGTTTTAATAAAAACTATGTTTGTAAGAAACCTCTGAAAAAAAGTCAAGATCAAGATAAAATCAAAAAAAAGTTAGACATAACAGTTAGTGAAGAAACACATCAGGAATTGCCAGAACCAAAACAAACAGAACACATGCTACAAAATAGTCATATGGAATATAATAACAACAAGACACAAGGTACAAGTCATGTAACTAATAAAACAGATACCCAACTAAGACCAAGACAATAGTCAGAATTGTTCTTCAAATTAAAAAGAGGAAGGACAACATACTCTACCTACTCACTAAGAAAAAGGATTAATATAAAGAATGAGAATGCTATGATTTTTGAGGTACATAATTTGGAAAATATTTTAACAACTGACATCATAAAAGCAATGATGCAAAAGTTTGGAGAGAACATAGTTGAGGTCAAACCAATTATTTCCAAGAGAAAAAGAACATATTTGGAGGTAGTTTTTGTAAATGAGGATAAGCAACAACTATCTTTTGTAAAAGGTCTTGCCATCTTCAAACAAAACCTTTAGAGATACATTTCAATCAATATTAGATGTAGCTTTCTTTCAGTTAGACTTTAAAATGCTCTTATGGCAAGAAAGATTTTGTTTCAGATAAATTAAAATAGCATTCCAAGATGTGGGTCCAATTGCATCTATTAAACCTCTGGTATTTAAAAGAACTTCAATATTATCAAACCAATGGGTAGTAATTTTTGAAACAACAGATGATCCTGAACTAGCAAAAAGAAATCCTAAATATACACATATTTGGGATCACAAAGTAACAACAGACTGAAGAGAAGCTTCAAAACTTTGTTATTTTTGTAACAAAACAGGACATATCAAAAAAGAATGTTCTGAATACCAAGCATCAGTTAAACTTAGAAATCTGCAAAAGGCAAGAAGGAAACAAAGATTATAAAAGAAAAAATGTATGAATTATTAAAAAGAAATGATAGCAAAATTTAGTACAAAAAACTCTTACACTAAGGAACTTAGTCTAGGAATGAATCTTGATGATAAGAAAGTAGAGCAACCAAAAGCAGAAATCGAAGCCAATGGTAGCTCTCCAAATAATAAAGAAATAGAACAACCAAAAATGGAAACTGAAATAAATAATAACACTAAAAGCACTCAATTCATGCTTCCAGAGAAAACAATACAAAAGGAAATTGCATTAAATATACAAGAAATATGGCAAGAAAATGGTCTACATAACCCAATAGCATCTTTATACAATAATATGTCAATGGTTAAAATGTTGACAAACATTAAACAAGAAGATTCTAATGGGTTTAAAGTAGTTATATTCAAGAAAAAACACAAACACAAATCTAAAATAGCTATCTTAGAAGAAAACAAATCCAATAAGATGAATTTAAAGGTCTTTAACTTAAAGACTAATAGGTTCTAAACTACACTTTATATATAACAATTATAATTAAGTCAATCAATATTGCAACCTTAAATGTTAAAGGTTTAAATAACAGGGACAAAGCTTATAGAACACTTACACTCTTAAAATTATATAAAATATATATAATCATGCTTCAAGAAACCAACTTAGAAAATGTGAATATAAGAAGTTTTTTGCAACAACAATGGAATTACAGTTTCTATTGGACAGCTAAAACTGCAATATTAGCAGAAAATGAAAATATCACTTTGATGATGTCAAGGAATTATATAATGGTTGAGTAATCATAGCAAAATTCATATACAAGCAACAACCATTTCTTTTAAATAATATATACACACCACCAAATGTAGAAGATAGAGCTTGTTTCTTTAATATGTGGACTTCACAGTATGAAGAGAAATATATCAACATACTGGCAGGAGATTTTAATACTAATCTTAATCTACAAAAAGACCAAATTAGTTATGCTTCAGCAACTAATGACCTTACAAGAGAACAACTTAGAGAACTTACTACAAACTTTGTAAATATATATATAGCTATGAATAATAGCAAACCTTTTTTAACATATTATCAAAACACTCAAGGAAACCATAGAATAGCTACTAGGCTAGACTATATATTCATAGATGCAAATCATATCTATTACTATCAGAACATTGCAATACAATTTGGCAACTCAGATCATCTGCTTGTAGAATGTGACTTCAACTTATACCAACATCCTCTAGAGCCAAACAATGAAGATTTTCTCAAAACAGCTAGAATAACAGTCTTCTTAAAAGTGAAATAATTGAAGAAGTTACAAATATTTATGATTTTACAAAGTGGGACCTATACAAATATAGAATTCAGTCTATAATAAGAGCATTTCACCCACAAGCCTCTTCTAAAAAGAAAATACAAAAACTGCAAAAAAAACTTACAGAACTGGATAACAAAGCAGCTAATAGTAAAAATACAGACAAAATTCTAGTAACTAAAGAAAACATTAAGTTACAGTTACAGAAAGAACTCCAGTTACTTTCTGAAAAATGGCAAACAAGGTCTAATGCCAAATAGATTAAGAAAGGTGAAAAATCTACAAATTTTTCTTTTTTCTATATAAAATAAGAAATTCAATATTAGCCAAAGACAAGATACACCCATCACAAGAATATATAGCAGAAAATCTAGCCTCTATATTACAATATATTAAAGATATCTACCAGATGATATATAAAAATAATGGAATAGACATGAAAGCTGCAAGTTTCTTTATACATAATCTTCCATCTATAATAAAGTTGCAGAATGCAGCATTAATGAAACAAGTCTTTGAAAAAGAAGTTACTGATATAATAAACATACTTCTCAACAACAAAGCTTTAGGCTCAGATGCTTTACATATGAATTCTACAAGGATATCAAGGATGAAATTATTTCAGTACTCACAAGACTGTTTAATTTTTGCTTAGAAATAAGCAACATTCCTAGGTCCTGGACTAAAAGCATTATTATACTAATTCCAAAAAAAAACAGAAGGATTAGATAATATAGATAATTGAAGACCTATATCACTTATGAACTGTGATATCAAGATCTTTATAAAAATCTTGGCAAACAGATTTAATCTAATCTGTAAAACAATAATTGGTCAATCACAACAAGCTTTCATAAAAGGAAGATCAATTATAGATGCTGTCTTGGATATTCTTACAGTAATGAGAAATCAAAAAGATCAGGCCACCTCTCACTGGCTCTTGCTTTTAGATCAACAAAAAACCTTTGATTGAATAAACTATACATTTATTCTAAAGGTTTTAGAAAAAATGAACTTCAATATAGGATTTATTAATATCATCAAGTTTCTTTTCAATTCTCAAACAGCTAATATAGCAGATACAAGCATAATCTCAGAACTATTTAAAGTTAAAAGAGAAGTTTGACAATGAGACCCTTTTCTCTCTCTACTATACATAATGGCTCCAGCTACCAAGTTGCAACTTCCAAGCTGTAGCATATGCAGATGATTTGATAATAGGAATTAGCTCATCTCAGGATTAGGAAAGGTTGATGGCTTTGCTAAAACAATATGAGCAAGCATCTAATGCTAAAATCAACCAAGAAAAATCTATACTAATTCCTATGACAAATATAGCAAAAGTAATGGAATTACAAAATCAAAGTCAATACAAAATAGCAAACAAAGAAACCATCTTAAGAATTTTAGAATATGAAGTAGACATAGAGGGCAACCTTAAAAAACAACTTTGAGAAAGTCTAATGCAAAATATTAAAAACAAAATAGAAAAAATAGCAACTAAAAACCTATTCTTTAAAGAAAAAATTCTAATAGCTAAAACTTCCTTTATATTAAAAATTTGGTATTTGGCCTATTTGCTACTACCAGGCAGAAAGCAGCTAAACACAATAAACAATCTTATATTAAATTAGATTAAAAATAAATTTAGAATGCTTCCTAGATATGCAGCCTTTCAGCTAGACTATAATAGAAAAGAACTGGCAGCTCCTGTGCTTAAAGATGCTCTAGATACTAGGTTAACATTGGTGTAAATCAAACTTCTAACCCAAAACAGCCTATAAGCAAAAACAGAAAGAGTTCTAATATCTAAACAGCTACAAGATAAAAGAAGAATAACTGTAACTAAGGCCTTAACCAAATATCCAATAAAGCTAAAAGGCTGGCAGAGATTTGGGGACCATACCTAACAACATAGAAGAGACTTGAAGGATCAACCAACTCTACAAGTAATTGGCCATGGAATGTCTCTAGTTTAAAAATAGATAACCAGTTAGGAGATCAGTACTCAGTAAAAAAAGCAATAGAATATCTAAGATTACATTCAATAATGTCAACAACCTCTCAAGTTCCTATAATGTCACAAGAAAACTGATAAAAGCTTTTTGAATAGCTAGATACAAAGGGAGTATTGAATCAAAAAAAGGACATCTTCTGGAAATTACAAAATAGTGCATTACCACTGGGATATAGGCTGATGCACATAGACAAAGATATAGATAGAAACTGCCTAAACTGTTCTGTGAAGAAACAAATGATTAAACACTTTGCAATTGATTGTAATATTAGCAAAATAATCTGGAAAAAACACTAGAATATTTAATAATTCTCAAGAAGTAAAGTGTTCAGAAACACTAGAAGAAATCTTTATGGCCAGTAATATTCATGATGCCTCTAAACTTGAGACAGCATGATGGATATATATCTCAGCTATATATAAAATTTGGCTATAGTATACCTAAGCCAGATGGGGCAAAGATATTATTCTTGAATAAATAGTCAATAAAGTTACTAAAGAAAAAATTAAAAGAAACTTACAAGTTCTAAACAAATTGCAAAAAGAAAAAATAATACAAAAAATTATGAATCATATAAACATTAAACACATATTAGATATAAATAGTTAAATAATTGTATTATATTAATAAAGTATGCTAATTTATGTTTTTGAAAAAAAATAATATAAATTACTATATTTAGCAATTATTAATTATTATTTTAATAAAATAATAGTTAATTTAAAATTTTTTAAATCTTATAAAATTACAAAATTATATATAATTTATTATAATAAACAATTTTAAATTTTGGTTTATTTAATAAAAAATTAACTTTTACTATAAATAAAATATTTTAATTAAAATTTAAAAATTGCTATTTTATATTTTATATAATGTTATACAATTTTGTATAATTTTAATTATTAGAGGATAGTGATCCTAGTGTAATAATAGAGTTGTCATTTTTTAAGTAGCAGGTTTAAGGTTCAAATTCTGCTTATGATGAAATTTGGAAATTAATCTGTTATAGTAAAACTGTCTTCTGTCGATCAGTTGAATTTAGGTATCTGTAATCTTGGATACAACCAATTGGGTTTTACTTATCATTAGAAGCCTGGAGCATTTATGCAAAGTGTAATGTTCATGTACATAGAGAAATGTTAAAACTGAGATTGCATAAGACTCTAGTACAAACCCATAATAAGACCATTAGATGTAGAAGACCAAGAAACTGAGAAGATAAAATTCTACTTAAAAATCCTGAGAAAGAGTAGCACAAACCTTTGATGGTGCTGTTGGACCAATAGAAGTACAGAAAACTTCAATAAAGAATAGGCAGATGCAACTAGATGGAAAGATGTATAGAGGTGCATATGACCAACCAGGCTACTGAAATCACCAAAGAAAAAGAATACCAAAAGGTATACTATATCAGGCCTTCTGAATTAGGAGTCTAGAGAGTCTGTTAGATTCTAAGTTGAATAGTAGAAGGATGAAGAGAAAAAGTTGAAAAGATAGATACCAGAGTTTGGATAAACTTTACAAGAGTAAAAATAGTATAACATAGTGGTTTAAGGTTAGCTCTAACTGCAAGTATTAGTAACTATAGCATGTTATATGAAAATCAGATTAGCTGTATGTGAAACACAGAGGCTCTAGTAGGTTTACTTTAAAAATAAAATAGTTCTAAGGTTAAGACAAGGATCTGGGCTTGACCTAGTGAAGTTGGTTCAAGAGTTTCAGATTAGAAAGTTTAAATAGAATACTTAAGCAAAAGGCAACTGATAGAGAACCTTTGGGCAGACCTCTTTAATAGATAATATAAAAAAGTTACATGTGTAGTCAGTTGTACACTTGTTATAATACCTGACAGAAGTATTAATAAAGTCAAAAGACAAAGAGGTCACCTTAATACTGAAAAAAATAATAATCTTAATTATTATTATTTTTTTTGTTAAGATGACCTCTTTGGTCTTTTGACTTTTATTAATTACTTATTGGTATTGTGGTTCAATAAACTACTATAGAAGAGTGTACAATTGACTACATATATAACTTTTCTATATTATCTATTTAAGAAGTCCACCCAAAGATTCCCTACCAATTTCTGTACCTAACACCCCTGCTTGGGTATTCTACTTTAAACTCTCTGAATCTATAACCTGTATTAACTTACTGGGTTATACTTAGATGCCTAGATCATTATCTCAACCTTAGGACTAATTTATTCTCAAGGTAAACCTCTCAGAGCCTTCTGCACCCATTTTTATAGCTGAACTAGGTATTACTATGGCAAAACTAATACTTGTGATTAGGACTTAACCATTAAACTACTATGCTCTTGTAGAATTCACTTAGACTCCAGCATCTACTTCATAGCATAACCCTAATACTTTAGTATACCTCTGCCTTTTTACCTGCTTTTTTACCAAACTCCCAATCCAGATAGCCTGTGTAGGACTATGACCAGTCCATTGATATATCAGGTTGGCCCAATATCCTTTTCCTCTGGGTTATTCTAGTAGCCTAGTTGGTTGTATCCTTGAGACTTCCAACCCAGAGGTTCTTGCTCATCTGGCTACTATGACCAGGTACTATGACCTTGGTATCTGTTTCTTCAGACTAGCCTTTACAGTAGAGCTATTGAAGATTCAGTTACCTCTCTACTCAGGTCTCCCAAATAGACTTCTTATTACCTAATTTCAACAGATTTACATAGCCACAAGGACTTATCTAGTGTTTGCATCACCCAATTTGTCAGTTTGCATTTCTCTGTGTAATGCCATACTTATACAGATGCTCTATAACCTGCCAGTCATGCTGGTATGACTACTATTACAGGTATCCTAACCTAATCATTAGTAACAGTTGTTATACTATGAATATTATATAAGTGATTATCCAAATTTTTATCATCAATAGGATTTGAACACCTAACCTACCACTTAAAAGATTGACAACCTGACTACTTCACTAGGTTACCACACCTCTTATAATCTTAATTATCTTAAAAAATACTGCATAAAATTTTATAATCTTTTTTTTATTTAAAAACTTTAGATTTAATAAGTTTATTGTATAATTTTTAGTCTAATATCTTTTTTTTTTTTTATTAAAAATGCATCTAAGCATACATTTTATTTGTAATTATTCAATTATTATAAGGCTACATATTTTGTGAAAATTGCTTTATAAATCTTAGGATAGAATCTAATTCTCTATTTCTAGTTGGCAATTATTTAACTACAAATGTATGTAATAAGTTAATTTCATGCTTTATTTTAAGTATTACTATGTTGATTATTGTTTTTATAGATATAGTTTTGCTGCCTCATCTAGCTTGGTGTATCAGCACTATATTTCATATAAAGTGTTTATGTAGATTCAGATGGCTGCTTTTATTTTATAATCTGAGAATATGTTAGTGACTTGAAGAATATTATCTATTGTAAAAGGAGTAGATTCAGCTGCATATTTGAGAAATTTGTAGGTTGTTTCATATTTTTTTTTTGCTAAGAGGGCACTTTAAGGCAAAGTTTTTTAGTGATTGAGTAGTATATAGGAAATTAGAGCAATTTTTCAGATTGTTTTGACTAACATGTATAAGCTAATAACTTAGAGAGAGTGCATAGTAAGCAAGATGTCACATTATGTTCTTTTTCTTGTTAAAAACTCCTTTTATGTTTAACCATTCAAATTGGCCTTCTTTGAGGTTTATTGAGGTGTTAAAACTTTTTAAAGCTTCTTTAACCTTGTATTGGTTGCCTAATATGTTTCCTATTTTGATTTTCTCTAATTGCCATGGTCAGGTACTGTTGGTTTTTATTTTTTCTTTAAATCTTTTCCATATGTTTAAATAGGGCTTCTATCTATCAGTTTAGCCTTTAGTTTTGAGTAGTATTTGTGTTAGTATATTCAAAACTGAAATATTTCTTTTGTTATAGAAATCTAAAGTTATAGTGTCTCTCTTCACAGTAGCCCAAAGAGTATTATTTGATAGAAGTTTAAGCTATGTTAAGAGTAGTCTGGCATCTAGCATATTCTTTAGAATAGGTGCAGTAAGCCTACCATGCTCATAGCTAAGCTGAAATATTAAATATTAAGATAACATTCTGGAGTTTCTTTATTAGTAATTTTAATTTTTTTTGTAAGGCCTTTCCAAGTGACTTTTCTGTGTTTTTTTTATGTCAATGTAGTAGCCTATTATTGTTATAGAGCTTTGATTATCATCAAGTATTTTAAATTCTGATTGATCTAAGAGTTCAACTCTTTTAGTGTTAGATATAATAGGTACTAGAATTGATTTGGTCTTGTTAATTTTAGCATTTGAGACTTTCTTATATTTGTGTAAAATTTTTAAAGTTCTAGTTCAGTCTAATGAAAATCTGATTTCCAAGAAAATATCATTTGCATATGCTGCAATTTTGAATTTTGTATTATTAACTGGGATTCTTTTAATATCTCTGTTGATTGTACTAATAAATAGGTTAATAGCTAAGACATCATTCTGTCTAACTCTTTCTTCTATTCTAAAAAGTTCTGAGATATAGCCTGAGTCAACTATTTATATGTTTTGGCTTATAAAAAGTGAACTTATTACCTTAATAAATTTTTGTTCAAAGTTTATTTTGTTAAGTGTAATCTGTAGAAAGCAGTGACTAACTCTATCAAAGGCTTTTTGCTAGTCCAATAGCAGCAACCTGTATTGCTTTGATTGGTTATTTTGATTTCTTAGTATCACTAGCACATCCAGTGCTGCATCTGTAATAAATCTATTAGCAATAAAGGTCTGCTATGCTGGGCCAATAATTTTGCTGCATATAGGATTGATTTGGTTTGTGAAAAGCCTTATAAAGATTTTGGCATCTGAGTTAACTAGTGATATAGGCCTCCAGTTGTTTATATTAGAAGAGTCATCCAATTTTTTAAAGATTAGCATAATGAGGCTTTTACTCCATGAGACTAAAATTTGATCTGTTTCTAGTACTTTATTAAACAAATTAGTGAGTGATAAGATGATTATTTTCTTTATATCTTTGTAGAATTCATATGTTAGGCTATCAGTTTCTGGGGCCTTATTGTTTGGAAGATTATCTGTTATTTGACCAATTTTTTCTTTTGTTATTTGTTTTTCCAATAGTTTGTTTTGCTGTGATGTAATCTTTGTCAAGTTGTTTGTGATTTGTTCTGCAGCTTCTTTATTAATTTCTTCACTTTTGTATAGTTTCTAATAGAACTTCTTAATGAAGTTCATGGTTAGTGTTTGGGAGGCTTTGTTTGGGCTATTTGGGTCTTTAATTTTGAAGCTGCAGTTTGTTGAATGCTTGATTTTGTATAATGAGTAGAAGTATTTTGTTGATTTTTCTTCTTTTTCTATCCATTTTGCATTAGATCTCACTCACCATTTGCCTGAAGCTTTACATTCAGGCCTTCAATAACTAGCTTGAGCTCTTCCAGATCAGGGTTTTTTGTTATTTTGCTGTTTAAACTACAAATTTTTTTATATATTTTTTGTATTCTTTTTTCTGATAAAGGTTGGCTTTTAAATGATCTTATTATGGATTGGATTGAACACTTGTGCAGATCCCAATTGGCTATGCTGTAGATGTTCTGTAGCTTTTGTATTATGCTAGATTTGAGTTCTGAAATGCTTCAGCATTTTCTATTAAATTTTCATATTGGGTTGTTGTTGTGATTAGGTTTTAGGCTAAGCTCACATTTAACCAATAAATGGTCTAAGTTACTATAGCATGTGAAGATGTTTTTGCATAAGTGACTATAGCTGTTTTTAATGTAGATGTAGTCTAGTCTGGTTGCCATTTTTTGGCCCCTATGTGTAGACTGATAAAATGTAAGAAATGGTTCTTCTTTGGAGCAGATAGCTGTGTTGATGTAATCTGTTATAAAATTTTTTATAAGCTTTCTGGAACTGTTATTTTGTGTTGTTGCTTGCCTTATTTTGTTTTTTTCAGGGTTTAGGTTTGTGTTAAAATCTTCACCTATAATGAAAATGCTTTCTTCATCCTTGATAGGTGCCCACTTTTTGAAGAAGGTGACTCTGTTTTCTTGTTTAAAGGATGCATAGATGTTTGTAAAGTAAAAATGCTGTTGTCTAATTTCTGTTTTAGCTGTAGTTATTTGTCCATCTAGAGACTTTTTCATGTTTGTTAACTTGATATTTTCTTTTTCAGCTAGTATTGCTGTTTTGGAAGACCAAAAGGAGTCAAAACCCCATTGTTTAACTAGAAAGGTTCTTAAAGAGATGTTTTTTAAGTTGGTTTCTTGTAGTAAGATTATGTCTAAATTGTATAAGTTTAGTAGAGTAAAAGTTTTTTATGCTTTAGACTTGTTATTTAAGCTCTTTACATTTAATGTAGCAATTTTGATTATTAGTTAAATTGAAAATTGGATGAAGCTACACTGGACTTTATTAATTTTGTGTTAAACTCTTTGTAGACAGCTCAGTAGGGAGGCTTCTTCATTCTTATAAGGGTGACTTATTCTTGCTTGATCATTTCTTTTGCTTTTAGTTTTTTGTTTTCTGTAGGTAACTGTAATAAAAGGTGTTTTTTCTATATTATTTTCAATGTTAGCTAAGCTAACTATTGGCTCAGCTCCTTCTGTTTCTATTTTCTTTGTTTTATTAATATTTGCTGTAGCAGTGATAGGATCAGATTTTTCAATGTTTTTTGTTTTTGAGAATGTATCTTTTAGTGTTATTGCTTCATTATAAAGTTGTATCTTTTGCATTTGTTAAGTTCTTTGTTTGAGTGATTTACATATACTCTTTTTAGACCATATGCATTTGGAAGTAGAGTAAAACTAAATGAAAAAATAAACTACAACAGCAAGACAAACAAACTTAAAAAAGGTTTCAAAACAAGGGCACTTGCTCTTGTTACAAAAAAAAAGATCTTTTAAAGCTTTTAACAATACAAAAAGCTTTGACACTATGACAAAAAAATGAAAAACAAAAACAAATACTGATAAGGAAAATAAGTAGCTCAAGAAACTAAAGAACTTAAGGAAATAACAAATACACATAAGGAAGAACTTAAAGAAAATAGAACATATATGACAAAAGAAAAAATTTTACTGGTAGAAAAAAGTGACAACAACATAGCAACACTCATAGAACAAGACAACAATACTTCTACATATAATAAAGAGGTTATTGAAGTCAATACACTTAATGAAGATAACAACAAAACAACAACATATGACAAAGAGGTTTCTGAGACTAGTACAGGTAACAAAGACAACATAGAAACAACAACTCAAAATGAGTCAATAAATAAACAAAAAGACTCCACTTTGGAAAGAAATACAACTTCTAGCTCTATCAGAATGACTGAACTATTAACAAAAAAATGGTCAAGTCTATTTCCTAAACTTAAAAGAGGCCAGTCAACTTATTTATTCTTTTCTCCTAGGAACATAATTATATCAAAAAATGAAAATGCTCTCATTATAGATATACAAAGCCTATAATGCTCTTTTAACAAAATTATGTTATCTTTATTTAAAACTGCTAAAAATGACATTATTGCAGCTAAACAACATTTTACTAAAAGAACATAATCACATCTAGAAATTATCTTTACAAATAAAAAAAAACTAAAGATCTATGCAACAAAAGGAATTAAAATTTTTAACAGAACATATTTTGGATATGTTCCAATAGATATGAGGAAATAATTCTTGCCAATTAAAATAAAAACATCCTACTAGGCAATAAAGAAGAACTGTCAGACTCAATCAAAGATGCTTTTGAGAATATTGATAAAATAGCATTAATTAAACCTTTGCTAATTGAAGGTGCACTATACCTAACAAATGATAAAATACCAAGGTTTACCCATATATGGGATAACAAGGTTACAACAGAGTAGAAGGCAGCAGCAAAAATATGCTACTTCTGTAAAAAATAAGTGCATATTAAAAAGGAATGCCAGCTATTCCAGGAACCAGTAGCCCTCTGCCAACAATATTAAGATGTTAAAAAAAGAATTGAATCACACAGCAAAGAAAATTTGCATCTTATGCAGCTAATCCTGCTAACAAAGAAAAAAACCCATACTTGCAAGATAATATATCTATTACTAATAGTGCAGGCTTATAAGAAAATGATTTAATACAAGATAAACAAAATGGGCCTTTGTTACCTTCAATGGAAATAGACAACAATAAAAGAAACTCTACACTAAGTAAAAATAAGAACCTCTTATCTGACCCAGTACTAGCACATCATGATGAACTGGCTGCACTGTATTTTAATGCAGAACCACAGGCAGAAAACAAAAATATAGATGAAACATTACCTGAAACATTACCTATAATGAAAGTTGACAATGAGAAGGCTCCTATGCTATTTTGTAAAAAAGACAAAAATAAAAAAGAAAAGAGCTTACAGGATAAGAACCAATTAAGGCCTAGCCCATATAGAAAACAATGCAATGATAAACTGCCCTTACAGATCTAATTGGGTCAAAAATTTTTGTACATTTACATGCCTTTAAAATTCAACTTAAAATTACAAATGATCAAGGCAAACAACAAAAAACATTAACATTCTTAAAATCCTACAATTTAGATTTAATAATAATATAAGAAACTAATCTCAACAATGAAAACACTAGGAACTTTTTAAAATACCAATAGATATACAACTCATTCTGGTCAGACAAAGTGGCAATTCTGATTGGAAACAGAAACATTATCTTTAAAAATATGAAAATACACCATAATGGACAAGTTATCATAGCATCATTTGTTTACAAAGGTCACTTATTTTATATTACTAATGTGTATGCACCTTCTAACACTAGTAACAAAATAATATTTTTTGATAACTGGACTCCTCAAATAAAAGAAAATGCAATAAACATTATAGCAGGAGACTTCAATATAAACCTAAAACCTGAAGCAAACAGAATAAGTCAGACATTACTCAGCCAAACCTATCTAGGAACCAACTGTTGGAATTAACAAGAAATCTTTTAAACACTACAGAAATTACAGGCTCTAAGCCTTTTCTTACATTTTATCAAAAAACACAAGGTGGTAACATGATGGCAACATGTTTAGTATTTTGTTAATGAAAATCAATCACATTTAGTTTCTAAGGTTACTACACATTTTGGTAACTCTGATCATCTTCTAGTTAGTTGTTTACTCAACTTCAACTGGAAACAAAAACAACCATCTAGCTGGTGATTTGATAAAACCATGTTCAATAATGAAAAACTTAAAAAAGAGGTCTTTGAGAAAATTAGTGAATCAAATGCAATAGAGAACTGAAATCTTTGCAAGGTCTATATATAATTGATTATAAGAGCATTTAGAAAGCCAAAAACAACAGAAAGCAAAATATCAAAGCTTAACAATGAAATAACAAAGTTAAATGGAAAAATAGCTAGTTCATCAAATACAAAAAGCTAGTCTTTATCTTTAGATAAGCTTAATGTACAGCTACAAGAGGAGTTAACATCTTTGGCAGAAAAATGGCATATCTATTCCAAAGTGCAATAGATAGAACAAGATGAAAAATTAATGAAAATTTCTTTACCAAATAGTAATTATCAAAATAGTAAAAACAATTTACAGTACAGAAGAAATCATGAAAAACCTTCTACAAGTACAACATGAATCCAATAAAGGTTTGGTCAAAAGAATCACACAAGAAGAAATAATAAATGTTATATGAAACTTACCAAATAACAAGTCTCTTAGAATAGATGACTTAACTTATAAATTTTACAAACTTATAGAAGAAGTAGTTACATCAGTTTTGGAGAAGATCTTTAATAAAACTCTAAACTCTGGCATCCTTCCAGTCTTATGAAGCAAGAATCTAAACATACTAATTCTGAAAAAATCAGAAGAGCTTAACAACATAAATAACTAAAGACCTATTTTGCTAGTTAACAGTAATGCAAAAATTTTTATAAAGATCATAGCCAACAGGTTAAATTTAATCTGTAATAATATAATTCCAAGCTCTAACAAGACTTTATCATAAACAGGTCTATAACAGACACAGCTCTCAATATCTTAACAACAATGAAAAACCAAAAGGATAACTTTAAGCAACACTGGATGCTATTTGTTGATTAGCAAAAAGCATTTGACAGAGTAAATCATGGATGTTTAAAATTAGTACTAAACTAAATGAACTTTGATCCAAGATTTGTTAACTTAATCAATATACACATCACTCTTTCTAATGATTACTTAAACCAAACTAGCACCAAAACAGTTTGAAGAATTATGCTTTTAAGATGATGATATCTTTGATTCTGTTTAGATATATAAAGCAGATTGTTGCTAACAAACTAGAAATATGTGAAAAAACTAAGGTATGGATGACTCTCCCCAACATGTTTAGTATTCAAACCAGAAGGATATTCTGAAAACAATAGAAAAAAACTCTAGTTAAAGGTTATTAAAAGCTTAAAAACAATCTCTCTCTCTTCACTCACATTTAGTAGTGAAGAAAAAAATAAAACAAAAACAATTAAACCTTTATTAAAATCTATAGAAACTATACTACAAAAGCTAAATCTCTTGTGCTGAAGAAAAGAAAGTATCTACGCACTAACATGCTACACTTCCCCTTTACTAAGTCATCTGAAACACTTGTGTTCTACAAAAAAATCAGAACTTTTAACATTTATGAAGAAGAAACTAGTTTAAGCTTAGGCCCTTCTAAGAGCTTATTAGAACAAACTAAAGCTCAAGTTTTAAATAGCTAAGAACCAAAAGCTTTATCAACACAAAAAGCACAAGCATATATAGTAACAGACTTAAAAGTCAGTAAACCACTAAACAAAGAAAATACTAATTTCAAAAAAAATAATAATGCTTTGTTTACACCTGCTGACAACATGTACACAGAAGTAACAAACCAAACCAAACATGTGTCTCTTATAGCAACTTAGTCATATATTAATCAGAAACTACAACCAACCAATCAAAACCAAGGCAATGGTTCAATTTTTTTTCGAAGTTGGAAAGAGGAAAAGCCACCTACTCTACATTCTTTCCTAGAAAAAGAATCTATACTAAAAATGATAATGCTTTAATTTTTGAAACTCAAAATTTAGAAAATATATTTACAGCAAACATAGTTGAAGCAATGGCAAAAAAATTAGGTGATAGTCTTATAGCAGTAAGACTAGTAGTTACTAAAGGCAGAAGAACTCATTTAGAATTTATCTTTTCTGATGAGGACTAGCAACAGTACTATACAGCAGAAGGAATCTCAATCTTTAAGCAGTCCCTTCAGGATTATATTTCTGTTAATATTAGACAAAGCTTTTTCTCAGTAAGAATTAGAAATACACCAATAGGTAAAAAAGATTTTATCTCTAAAAAAATCAAAGAAGCTTTTCAAAATGTAGGCACAATCTCCTCTATCAAACCTTTGGTACACAAAGGCATTTCAGTTCTTTCAGATCAATGGGTAGTTATTTTTGAAACTACAGATGACCCAGACCTAGCAAATAGAATTTCCAGATATACACATGTTTGTGACCACAAAGTAGTTATGGACTAGAGAAAGGCTCCAAAGCTATGCAACTTTTGTGACAAAATGGGTCACATCAAAAAAGAATGCACTGAGTACATAGCTTCAGTAGAACTTAGAGCTATGCAAAAAGCATGCAGATTACAAAGATTTCAAAACAAAACCACTAAGCACCAAACCTTCAAGTTAAAAGACTTTAGTGCAGATAACCCCTATATTAAAAATAATAATAACTTAGATGTTAACAATGTTAATGAGCAAATCTCAGCAGATATGAATCTGAATAGTCATATCAATATAGATCAGCCTCAGATTAAAACTGAGGCAGCTAAAAAAAAACCAACTGAAGATACTCCAAAGGAACTAAACAATTCTTTAATAGAAAATTATACTATAGATACCAACATGATAGTAGATCTGCTAACCACCCTCTATAATGACTCCAAGGTTGCTGAATCCTCTTTTATTAGCAATGATGACAATGAATTCCAATTGGTGATGTCAAAGAAAAAACACAAGGGTAAAGCAAAATTATCGAATGCAGAAAGAAACAAAGTTATAAGTTTGGATCCTAAAAATAATCCTGGTCTCAGAACCAAAAGACCTTAATCTAATTTACCAATCTTCAATTTTTTAATATTAATGGTTAAACAAATTACAATTGCAACACTTAATGTTAAAGATTTGAACAATTCAGACAAAGCACAAAAAACACTGACCTTACTTAAATCATATCAATTAGACATAATTATGTTACAAGAAACAAATTTAGAAAACAATAACACAAGAAATTTTCTCTTACAACAATGGAAATACAGCTCTTACTGGTCCCTTCAAAACAGCAATATTAGCAGAAAACAGAAACATTTCATTTGAAAACATTATAGAATCTCAGAATGGCTGTGTTATCACAGCAACTTTCCTATACAAAAACCAACTATTCCTCTTAAACAATGTTTATGCACCACCAAATATAGAAGATAGGCTCAAATTCTTCAATAGCTGGGTTCCTCTAAGGGATGACAGGTGCATTAATATTTTGGCCAGAGACTTTAACATGAATCTGAATCCACAAAAAGATCAAATCAGTTATGCATCTATTACTTATGACCCTACAAGAAATCTTCTCAAAGAACTTACAACAGAGTTTTAGATATTGCATTACTGTCTAAAAATGATTATTCATTTTTAATCTATTATTAGAACACTAGTGCACATCACAGAATGGCTACAAGGCTTAATTACATCTTTATAAGTAGTGATCATAGTAGCTATTGTAAAAATGCAACAACACAATTTGGCAATTCTGATCATTTAATAGTAAAATGTAAAATACACCTTTTACTGGAAAACCATAAAGTGAAACAATGAAGATTTTGCAAAAATAGCTGGAATAATAACCTGCTAAAAAAAGAAGTAATTGAAGAACTCCAAAGCATTACTGATTTTTCAAAATGGGACCTTTGCAAATGCAGAATACAATCTATAATTAGAGCATTCAGGCCTAATCCTGCTCTAGAAAAGAAGATTCAAAAGCTTCAAAAAAACTCTCAAAGCTAAATAAGAAAACTGCTAATAAAAAGAACCCAATAGCAGCTCTATCACAGATAAAAAATGTTAGCCAACAGCTTTAAGATGAGCTTCAGCTGCTCTCGGAAAAATGGCAAACAAGATTAAATACCAAATGGATTAAAGATGAAGAGAAGTCAACCAAGTTCTTTTTTTCCTAATACAAGTCAAGAAACTCAATTTTAGCAAAAGACAAATTTCAAGCTCCTAATAATAACAACTCTGAAGACTTAGCTACTACTCTACAATTTATAAAAAAAATATATCAGAATATTTACAAAGCTAAGATAGTTGACAAAAGCTTAATAAATTATTTTTCCCAAAACCTTCAAAAAGTAACTGAATCACTAAATCACAAAACCAATCACTTATAAAACTTATTTCTGAGAAAGAAGTCAGAAATATTATTAGCTCTTTTTCAAATAACAAGGCTTCAGGTTCAGATGGAATTATAAATAAAATAGTACCAGTTTTGTCCAAGCTCTTCAACTTCTGTTTAGAGTCTGGTATAATCCCAAGATCATAATTCAAAAGTTTCATTACTCTAATTCTCAAAAAAGCTACTGACTTAAAAGATATTAACAACTGAAGACCAATCTCATTCACAAACTGTGATGTTAAAATCTTTATAAAAATCTTAGCCAATAGAAGTAATCCTATTTGTGAAACTTTAATTGGACATTCACAACAAGTCTTCATTAAAGGAAGGTCAATCACTGATACAGCACTAGACATTATTACAGTTCTAAGAAATCAAAATTATCAAACAATATCAAATTGGCTTCTACTGCTTGATCAGCAAAAAGCTTTTGATAAAATTAATTATAATTTTATTGTATATATATTAGAAGAAATGAACTTTGACAAAAAATTTACAAGGATTGTTAAACTTCTTTTCAATTCACAAACTGCACACTTAACAGATGCAAACCTTATTTCAGAACCTATAAGGGTAGAAAGAGGAGTATGACAAGGGAACCCACTTTCTTTTTTGCTATATATTTTGGCTCTCAATTCACTCATACTCAAAATTCAAAAAGAAATCAATGAAATACATTTAGCCAATCAGATATTTAAAGCTGTAGCCTATGCAGATAATCTTACAATCAGAATAAGCTCAGCAAACAACTAGAAAAAGCTTCTGCTTCTATTTTGCAGTCTCAAATGCTAAAATTAACAAAAAAAAGTTCAATCACAAGCATGGCCAAAGCAACAAATCTTACAAACCAAGAGCAGTACAAAATAGCAAATAACAATACCATACTAAAAATCTTGGGCTATGAAGTGGATATTAAAGATAACTCAAAGAAAAAGCTATGGGAGAACCTAACTTGAAACATTAAGAAAAAAATTAAAGATGTTGTATTGAGAAACCTCTCCTTCAAGGGAAAGATTCTCCTGTCAAAAGCTTTTTTTATCTCCAAGATCTGGTACACAGCATACTTACTTTTACCAAGCAGAAAACAACTAGACAAAATTAATAATCTAATCTCAAACTGAATTAAAAACAAATTCTGAATGCTGCAAAATATTTAACTTTTCAACTGGAAATTGACAAAGGAGGTCTTGCAGCCCCAGTTCTTAAGGACATTCTTGACTCAGGGCTTACTTCAATATGATTAAACTCTTATGTTCAAACAGCTTTTGGGTCAGAGTTGAAAGATCTCAAATTGCTCAACAACTGCATAATAAAAGAAACATAGCAATAGGTTATGCATTAACAAGACTTCTAATTAGGCTAAAAGGATGGCCAAACTTTTGGAAACCTTACCTTACAGCATGGAAAAGATTAAAAGGCTCAATACTAAATACAAACAACTAGCCTTGGAATTTGTCAGATCTTACAATTGGAGGCCCAATTTTCAGTTAAAAATGCAACTAATTTCTTAAAAACTCAATTAATTTTATCTACAGCAGCACAAACTTCAGTTGACACTAGCTATTCTTTTACCTAAATTAACACAACAGGAATTCTGAACAAGAAAAAAAATATTTTTTGAAGGTTACATAACAATGCACTTCTTTTGGGATACAGGCTTATGCATGTAAACAAAAACATTAATGAAAACTGTTCTAACTGCCCAGATAAAAAACAAACATTAGATCACTTTGCTTTAAAGTATAACATTTACACTCTTTCCAGACCACATGCATTTGGAAGTAAAGTGAAACTAACCAGAAAAATAAACTACAACAACAAGACAACCAATCTTAAAAAAGGTTTCAAAGCAAGGGCACTTGCCCTTGTTACAAGAAA